AAGAATGTATAGATTCAATGCTATTTCCATCCAACTACCAACATCTTTTTTTATAGAATTTTTAAAGAACTATACTAAAAGTTATACAGAAACAAAAAAGAGCCCAAATCCCCCAAGCAATCCCCACAAAAGAGAACAAAGCTGGAGGCCTCACACTACTGAACTTCAAACTATACTACAAGTTTACAGTAACCAATCAACATGGTACTGGTACAAAAACAGACACATACACCAATGGGACAGAATAGAGAACCCAGAAATAAAGTTACACTATTTTAAAACAAAGCATAGGAAGCATAGAAATAAGGTTCTCAGATTAATTTAGCATACATGTTATAGAAAAAATTTGAAGCAATGACATAATGTATTGTTTGTGAAGAAGAAACACATTTTCTCCAGAAAAAGCTCATCAAACTGTATGCTAACAAGTATTTTAGATGAATAGGCTACTATTGAAGAAACAATTAGAATTATGATGCTATAACCTACAAATAATCTATTTAATAAGAACATGAATTCAATAGAATTCATTAATTCAAATAGCTATATTAATTCAAAGACTTCATATAGATTATGCAGAATCTTTATGAGTCAATGTTTTGAGAGTATCACTACCGCTGACTTTTCTTCTTTGTTCAGTAGGTTTATGGAGGAAAAGATGAAGAAAATTTATTAAGCACTTGGTGCAGGGTAGAAGCGGTTAGGTTGGTTTGGATGGGGTTCAGGACATGCCACCCCAAAATGTGATGCATGATGACATTTAAGAAAGCAGTAGAAACAGGGAGGTCTTTCTGATCACCACCCTCTCCTCGTGCTCTTCTCTCCTGAAGGGGGTCATAAAACCTCAGAGGGATTTTCTGACCCTCCCCTCAAGCAGTTCATATGACCCTCATTCAAAAAGTGCTCTTTCTATACCCAGGGGATAGGAACGAAAGACAGAATCCGAACACACAGGCTTTCCTAGGCTTCCCCCATTTCAGTACCATTAGACCACACCCTTTGTCCTATAATCATATTTCTTGAAGACTGCCCACTCTTCCTCAAACCTTGCACAAAAAAATACAGCAGTTTGCTTCATTATTCAGGCTTCACATTTGAAAGAAGGCTCTAGTGTCAGGTAAAACTTACATAATAAATTGCTATGCTTTTCTTTTGTTTGCTATGATAGCGGCCTCAGCCATGAACATAGTGACATGTGAGGAAAAGCCACTTCTTCTCACCTACAATTTTCAACACACAAACAAACAAGGGCAAAACATTTTTTTAAAAAAGTTATCCAGTTTGTGCAAAATGAATGTCAGGGGAAAAAACAGGCTAGTGCCTTGCAGAAACACTTTTTGAAAAGCTATTTAGGTGGCATAAGAGAGCCTAAGCTGTTAAGAAGATCTTCCAAGGCAAGGCGTTAAGATCATTCTAATTGTAAATGTTATTAAACCAGGGATTTTGCTTTTTTTGTTTTTAAAGAATTATTTAAATAATATGTGCAGTGTTCATTTCAGGATTTTTTTTTCATGCTGAAATCCCTTGGGTGTTTGTGGCAAGGTACTGGCAAAAATTCATTTTTGCTGAATTTCCTCTAGTGAAATACCTCTCAAAATATTGGTTTTACTAGTTTGCATGTCTTGCTTATTTTTGTAGTAAACAGAAGCAGCTCAATTTTGCAATGTAAGATCACACTGTAGTCACACTTAAAATTTTAAATAATGTGTCAGCAATGAAATAAATTTGACTGAAAGCTCAAGTGAATATCTAGCTGAGCTAGAGAGTGAGGTATGCCCTTTTTGGATAATCTGAAGGATTTTAACATACATGTTGAACATCTTATAATGTTGCAAGATAGCATTCCCCAGTGTTCACTCAAGATCTAAACTGCCCGAGGACCCTGTTACTGACTCTTTCCAAGCTGAACCCTTGGAAGTTAGGGAATATAATGTTTGTTGGGTATTTTTAATGATTTATTTTAAAAATATTAAAATTTCTCCTTTTCTTTCAGCTCCTGTTTCAGTTTAATTGAATAATATCTTGAGACAAGTTGGCATACAAACTATTAAAAAATGTTCATCATTTTCCGCTACTTATTCATATGAAACAAGATATTCCCCATTTAAAAAAAAAAACCCCAAACATACAACTACAGTGTGTGGTGACTTTGATATAAAACTATATCCATCATCCAGCCTTCAAAATGTGTTTTTAGAACAGCCTTTTTTGTTGTTGTTGGTATTTTAAAAACCAACCTACCCACTCAACCTAACCACTTCTGTGTAACAAACTTAATACATTTTCCTTATATTTTCCTATGCTTCTCACTGATTGACTTTGTACGTGAATTTTATACTTTCACATTAAAAACTATATAGTACTACAATACTTTAATCTCTTTCATTTATTGGAAATTGTGCATAAAATTCTGCCACTCAAAAAAAAAAAAAAGCAAAAATACTTAGAGGTGACATCCCACAAATTAAAAAATAAAAAAAGATACCACCACCCAGAGTTTGAAATTCACTGTTCTAAGCAAGCATTATGTGCTAGAATAATTTCTGTTCCTGCTACCAGAAGACCTGAGTTTGGTTTCAGATACACCAAGTAGGTGGTGTGACTTTGGACAAGTCTTCTTGCTTCTCAGGGTCTCAGACTGCTCATGTATACACAGGGCCTCTTTGTGCCACATGATAGAGCTGTGGGGGTGGCCCCACATTACGCTCCCTCCAGATTCTCTCTGCTTCATCTCCATCTTAGCTTCCTCAGTTTCTCCAGAATGCCATAACCTGCCAACCAGAGAGGTTTTTTTCACATCCTATTCCCTCCATCTAGAATATTCTTCTCTTATCTCTTAAGTCTCACTTTTGCTTAAATTACCAGCTCAAGTATTGTCCTCCAGAGCAAGCATTCTTTCATCTAGCCAACTAGGTCAATCCCCCTAGAATGGGCTTCTACTTTGTGGGTTATGATCACTACTATCATTCTATATTTATTCTGGTAGTTCTTTGACTCATCTCTCTTTTATACTGTAAACTGTATGAGATTAGGAACTTTGTCTGTTCCAAAAATTACTGGAAGATACTAGGTAACTTTTTAAGCTAGTGCCTCAGTTTCTCCATATTTAAGGTGAGGATAAAAAATAGCACCTATTTCATAGAGTTTTTGTATTAAAATAGATAATACAAAGCGTATTAGCTGAGATAAAATAGAATATTAAAAGAGATTAAATGCATTAAGTGCTTAGGGCAATGCCTGCCACATAGTAAATGTTTAACTTATTTGCTGAATATTTAACTTACTTGTTGAACAAACATGCATTTAAAAAATTGTTTATTTTAATGTATCTAAGATTTTGGACTTATCAGAAGCTCTTATTAGAAGAGCTTTCTAATTTTGAAAAAGATAATTCTATCCTTTGGATAGACTGTATCTATTTTCTACATTAGAACAATTAAATTATTTCCAATTTTTTAGATAATGAGCATTGTGATGAATGTATTTTTATGCGTTTTCTTTAGGTTAGAAAATTTTTCTAGAACAAGAATTATCGAATGAAAGAATAATAAATTTAAATGCTTTCTAAATACTTTCCATTAAACACATTTCTAGAAAATGTTTGTATTCTAGTTTTGACAAGAATTGAATGAGATTGCCTGTGCACCTTCCCATCATTAATTGCTTTTACACTAAAATAATTTGTCAACTTGATAAGCAGTTATTTATTATTGCTTTCATTAGATTTCTTAGATTACTAGTGAGTTTAATATGCTTGTGCCCATCATTTCTTTGAATTTATTCTACTGTGTACTTCTAAACATCTCACTTGTTATTTTCCTACTGTGTGGTTAGTAACAGTAACTGATTCATAAAATTTCTTTGATTATAAATGATATTAATTCATTGTCATATTTTATAAGTACATTGTCTTTTGTTTTAATTTTATAAAATTTCCATGTGTAATTTCTACATTTTTATGTTGTCAAGTTTGACATTTGCTCTCTGCTTCATGACTTTTATACCTTGAAACTCTTTCCCTTTGCTAAGACTACTGTATGTGTACTTTTCTATTTTATATTGTTCTTCATACAAACAACTATTAATCTACTTTTTTATGTTTTATCTGAGATTCGTATAACTTATTATTTTCTAAAGTCAGTTTTACCTATACCATTTGTGGAATGACCCATCACTTTCCCATTGTTTATAAAACTTTACTAATCATATACTAAACACTTCATAAATAATAAAAATTAGTGTCAATTTTACATTTTAAATATCTCATGAAATGTGATATTTATACAAAGATCTCTATATACCTTACAGATTAATTTTAATTATCAGATATTTTAATAAAGTAATATTGCATCTGTGTAATAGCTCTAAGGCAAGTAATCCATCTTCTTGGTGTCTCCATGCCTAGTGCTGAGTTTGGCATACAGTAGGCACTCAATATATAGTTACAGAATTGCACGAGCCTTTTTCAAGAGAAACATTCTATTTTGTGTGACAAAAGAAGGGACATAAAGTAGACTGCATAGATTGTGTTGGCTACTTCAGTTTCCTTTTCCTTTTTTTTTTTAAAAATAAACACTAATAAAACAGGATTGATATCTCTTGAAAGTTCTAGTAGAGCAAGGAGGTTTTCCAGAAGGTGATTGGATCCCTTTATGAAAAGCATCTGTGCCATAGCCACTGGCAGAAGCCCAAACACTGTGAAGTGCTTGGCTCTGGGAAATCACAAAGAGATAGAACATAGCCAAATTCTAAGATGGAACAAATCATAAAGTCATACTGCATCTTAATTTGATAACCCACAGGGAACATCCTTCTGCCTCATCAAGTCTATAAAGCAAGGTATTTATGATGTTCTTGTACACTTAATAGGTAACAAGAGTAATGTATAATAATGCTATTACATTGACTTAACACAGACTGTTTCTTAAGGTGTTCTGTTAATTTGACTACTTTCATTTTCTCTATGTGTGACTGATTTTGCATTCACTGTTTCATAATAGATATCTATCTTCAGTGAAGCATTCCTAAGCAGAAGAAAGCAAGTGCCTGGGAATATTGTATCAGGGAATATTCACAGTAAAGAAGTCAGATAACTCAGAAGATGAAAACTGTCATGTATCTCCTCTCCAATATGGTAACAGCTAAAAGTCAACTCTGGATCATCTGTATAGTGGGTCAGTAAAGAGCATATAAAATCATAAATTCAGACTGGTTTTTATTTTGGTATGGTCCCTGTACTTCCATATGAATAAGAGAATGATTCACCCCCTTCGGAACTCACAGTACATCAAACCAAATTAGGAAGCCAGGCAGCTGTGACCTGGTTTTGTAAGGGCCAAGAAAACTACAGAGTTTCACTACTGAACCTTACAACTCAAAATGATTCCCTGGTTTACATGTTCCATTTGGGACACGGGTGTACCTTACTGACTCATATAAAATGCCTCTCTGGGCTTGTATTTTCTCTTACCTTACCCAGAGTTGTATGTGAGTAAATAAAGGCTTGAGTGATCTCGAGGTGGCAGTTTAAAGGACGGTAAAAGAAAACAGGAGTTAGAATAAACAATGTCAGTAAAAACTTGGATGCAAGACTGACCTTATGCAATCCCTAAGGTAAATGCCCAAGATTTATTTTATGTAACTACAGTAAAAATAACCCTCATGAATTCAGTTCTAATACTAACGCTCATTTCAGGTACATTGAATTATAGGAGACAGAGCACGCTAAACTGCTTGTTCTCAGTCTGCTCCAATAAGTTTTATTTTTTATTGTTTTGGGGATGCCTTTGGGAAGGATAGGAGGAGTGGTGATTCTTGAAATTAGAGGTTGGGATGAAAGTAGAAGGGACTTTTTTTTTAGTAGAAAGGGATATTGAGAACAGGTTAGAAAGAGGCTCTGGTTCTATTAATTTAGGATCTGATAATATTCCTCCAAATCTGAAACACTCACAACTGACTCAATAGCTATGATTTTTGGAAACTGGTTTAATTTTCTGTGAAGCCATTAGGATAAAAATTATGAGATATATTCTATTTATTTATTTTCATTGGCAAATCAGCCTTGTTTCTTGAAGAAAATGGAAACCTGTTTTTATTAAAGATTACTGAAGTAGTTTTCCTTGAAAAAATAAAACCCTTCTGAATATCCAGATGATGGATGTATTATGCTATGAAAATTTTAATATAGGGGAACATCTCATAATGGAAACAGCTTAATAAGCAGGGAATTTCCATGCACAATTTCTGTAGAAACTCTAATATTGTTTTTATTGCTTGTTTGGTGACAATGTACTCTTGGCTTTTGTTCAGGATAAAGCGTACAAAACTGCCTGTTGGGTCTTTTCATCATTATTGTTGACACTGAAAGGGCTTTTACCGCCACTTTTGCACTCTACAGTCTCCTGAATATACCCGTCCATGTAAGAAAAGGATTAAATTCAAGATAACTCTTGCTATCTGCATTCTGCCACAGGGTTAGGAAGAAGAGTGCCACAGGAGACAAGCGATGGTAAGCTGGAAATAGACTTATCCAAGAAACTTCAGTTATTTCCTTAATTTATACTCAAAGTAGAGTGGGACTAAACCAAAATATTGTCATCAACACTCACTGACTTTAATAGAGGATCCTCCTAGGGGCCTGACCACTCCCAAGCTCTTCCGTCTTACCCTTTGTTATTCTTTCAATGAAGCTTGAAAATGAATAAGGAACTTGGCTGGCACCTCCCAAGAGAAAAAGAATTCACCAGTGGCCACTACCAACACCGCATTGTTTATCAGAACATAAAGTTTGGTTGAAATCCCACAGTGACGTCATCCCGCAACACTTACTGATGAAGCTAGGGACAATTCCAAGACATTTTCAATGGGATTGGATACCCTGCGCAGGAAATGGTCAACCAGCTTGCACTTCAAAGACTTTTCCTCTACTTAGGTGTGCTTAGCTCTTAAAAGTAGTGGAAAGTAACCTAAATCACAGACTCAGGCTAAGTCAATTCCTAAAAGGATTCCAAGAGAACTGCATATGCTGTGGTTATTTTTCTATGGGTTGATAACTTGATACAATTACTAGCATTTAGGTGACTCTTTTTCTGAAATGTAGTTAGACTTGTGGAGACTTTGCTCTGGGAATGGAAAAAAATTCAGAATCTATTATATGGGTAACACAAAAATAGTACTAGAGAGACTAGTCTTTTAGTAGGTATAGCTGCAAATGTTTTGAAAAGCAAATTGTCCATATTGATGGGGAAGGTCATGTAGACCTAGGACCTAGGTGTTGAAAACTAGGATCAAAGAAATAACTTCTCAAAAGATTAAGAGATCAGAAATTTAGGAGATGTGTATTTAGATGGAAAAAGAAGCATGGAGAAGACTTGACATGCTATATGCCAGCCAAGGTGTCAAATATTTAACCTTTTTCTCATCCTATAATGTATGAGTTCTGTATTCTAATTGGAAAAGATATGAAGCAGGTATAGGCACATTTTCTATTTATAGAAATGTATTATGATCTTGAATTCTCTTTGCCAATGAAATTTTTGGATTACACTAAAAATATTCTTATGAAATTATTATTTAAGAAAATGACTAAGCTAAAATTGGTGAAGGCTCATCATCACCATTAAAAACACCTGAATGTTTCAACATTATGATAATTAAGACAAGAGTATAACTTTTAGAGCTAGGAGACCCAGGTTTAAGTTTTTCTTATTTATAAAATAAGGATAAAATAAGGATAGCAATATTTACTTTAAGGATTTCTTGTGAAGATGAAATGAGCTAATTTTAAAGTGCTCTGTAAACAGTCATGGTAGTAACGATAATCATAATGAAAACAACAGACGAGTTGGAGTTTCTTCAGTGCTTACAGTATGATGGGCAATGTTCTGTCCTGTGTTAACTCCTTTAATTTTTACAACTCCTTTGTGGACCAGATACTATCCTAAAAAACCCTTTAACATATAAAGTCAAAGATGGAAAGGTTAAATAATTTGCTCAAAGTCATTTTGGTTAGTAATTGGCAGAGCCAGAATTCAAACCCTCTTCTATTATGAGTTGCTTCTGCCTATACAGTGCATATCGAAATATTAGGAAAAAGAAAATATAGTGTGCTTTGCCTAAAGACCGCCTATGTAATAAATACAACACAAGTAATCTAATGAGGCTTATGTAGTCACAGTAGGGATGTACTACTGGCATGTTGAGAGAAAATAAATCTATATGTGGTTGTAGAGACTAATAGAGCAGTTCACAGTGAGGACATGATTACCTAAGTGTAGAAGTTTTTCATAACATTTTATTGGGTGGCAGTATCTTAAATATTTCTTTTTTCTTAGCAAAGTTCAGGAAGTCATAATAAGCCACAGAGTTACAGTGGCAACATCTGGAAGACTGGTTCCTTAGGTGAGCCTCCTAAAAGGCCCCTTGTTAGGTCAAAATGAACAAAACATTCATTATCTGCTGCCCTTAATTCCATTGAAACTGAAGACTTTCAAAAAAGGAGGCGTTTGGTAGCACAAGTGGAAAGATTGGCTTGGATTGTCCCCACCTCCTATTATAACCAAAAGAGTTCTTTTATTTTGAGAAGACATTAATGATTCTTTCCACAAGCTGAACACACATTTACCCTAAAGAATAACCCCCATACTCAGTTGACCTGAAAAAGTGATATAATAGTATTTTGATACTTTCATATTTCTCCTTATTAGGAATAATAATTTGGGGAGTTTTTTAAATGAATACATAAGGCAGTTAGCTTTAACATTTTCTTATAATACCACAGAGGAAAAAACACAACACAAAACAATTTCCATGTGAAAACATACCAGACAACTTATAGTGATAATCTAATTGGAGAACACATTGTTCATTATAAAATATTATACACTATATTTCAAACATGATAGAAATCTAAAATTAATCCCTGTCCTCACATAAATAAAATGCCTTAAAATGCCATAAGATATTGTGTTTCCACCTTAAACACCTTTGTGGCCTAAGTCATCCTCAGCAGCTATCTGTTCATGATGAAAAAGTAAACTTGCTTTAAATAAAATTGAAATTCCAAACATTTTTTAGAACTCCCCTATAAGATACATCCTAACATGGAATTTCATCTTACAGGAAGGGATACACTGTCTTTGGCAAATACCTTCACTCTGCATCACAGAGTGATGCATCACATATTCCAGTAGTGGTACAGAAACAAAACTGGAATTCTGGTTTCAGAGATGACACCAAATGTGGAAGAGAAAGAAAATTTTTGAGGCCTAGTATACTTATGTTTTTCTAGATTCATAAATAATGCTATGGGTAGCTTCCATTCCCAGTCACGACAAAATAATCAGTAACAAGGAACTCATTCAGCCATAAACCATTATAAAACTGGACAAAATATTTCAAGCAACTGTTTCAGATGTTGGAAGACATTCAGTGCAAAATTGTGGTTCCTAGGAGAAAGAAATAACATGATAAGAGCCCCCAGTGGCCCTAGCTCTCTGTCTAGACACAGGGAGGTAGAGCCAAAGCAGAACCCAGGGGTCTTGCTGAGCTGAGGAGGAACACACTCTGAGTTTGAGGCCAAAATTTTGGACCAGACACCCCGAAAGAAGAGAACTAGGAACTGCATAGAGAAGAAATGCCAGAAATCTGCAGAAAGGTTCTTTTAGGACTTGGGCAAATATTAACCTCCTCGTTCACATCCAAGGAAAACGATAAGGTACAACAATGTAGATCTGTTGGTGTGAGTGAAATGAAGATGCCAGGGGCACAAAGAGCTGGGAGTCACAAGAGTTCTGGCCAACCAAAGTCGAGAGGGCTCCCCGACACCCTGGGCATGCAGCTGAGATCTCCAATCACACACTTTCGGAGAGAGGCCACTTTAGTCCCAAAGACTCCATCCTGGCAAACCTATTCACAGGCCTTAAAAGGAGCAACTGATTCATAAGGAAATTAACTTCCTACCAGAGCAAAATTCAGCAATTATTAAAGGAAGACAAGAAAATCCAGATTCTACCATTAGGATTCATGGTAGCATATCAAAGAATTTTACTAGATGTGTAAAGAAAGTGAAAAATTTCACTTGCAACAACAACAAGAAGTCAATAAAGGCAGACTTGAAATGACAATGTTGAAATTAGCAGATGAGAGCTTTAAAATAGCTATAATAGCACATTTAAGGATTTGAAAGAAATATAATGAGTACACATAACAAATCTTAGTAGAAAACTGGAAACTACAAGAGACAACCAAATGAAACTTTTAGAATTAAAAAAATATAATAGCCTACATTAAAAATTCACTGGGTAGGGCTTAACAGCACACTTGAAACTGCAGAAGAAAAATATAAGTGACATGGAAAATTTGAAAACAAAACAAAATCCAAAACCTCTATGAACAAAGAATGAGAAAAGATTGAAAAAATCCCTGCAGACTTTTTGCAAAAATCTGCAAATTAATTCCAAGATGCACAAGGAAATGCAAAGGACTTAGAATAGCCAAAACAGTCTTGAAAAAAAATAAAACTAATGTTGGAAACTGATTTTACAACCTGCTATAAAGCTGCAATCATTGTAATAATGTAGTATTACTTTCACACACACACACACACACACACACACACACACACGCATGCACACACAAGTTTATGTATTGTATACCTAAATGTAAGCAAAAACTACAAAGAAGGAAACACAGATTATCTCTGCAACCTTGGGTTAAGCAAAGATTTCTTATGTAGAATTCAAAAAGGATGAACTTGAATATTTTTTTGATAAATTCAACTTCCAAATTAAAACATCTGCTCATCAGATATCTTATATGAATTACATTTAATGTTTATTATAAATTATATTAAAAATATAAACTATGAAGATATATATATATTATACTTCCCTCAAGCCATGCACAGGAAGAAAACATTCTCAACATATATCTGAAAATGAAGTTGTATGTAGAATATATATTTTTAAACTACAAGTCAATCAATTAACTACACTTAGTTGATAAACAGATAACCGGATTAAAAAAAGGGCAAAACAGGCCAGGGGCCATGGCTCATGCCTGTAGTCCTAGCACTTTGGAAGGCCTAGACAGGTAAATCATCTGAGATCAGGAGTTCGAAACCAGCCTGGCCACCGTCCTGAAACCTTATCTCTACTAAAAATACAAATATTTGCCAGGCATGGTGGTGGGCACCTCTGATCCCAGCAATTCGGGAGGCTGAGGCAGGAGAATCACCTGAACCTGGGAGGCAGAGGTTGCAGTGAGCCAAGATCATGCCACTGCACTCCAGCCTGGGCAACAGAGCAAAACTCTGTCTCAGGGGGG